AGTTACATGCGGGATGTACAGTTGCGACCACTTTTTCTCTGTGAGTAGTCACAGGCAGAATATAGGTATTTCTGCATTACAAGAGAGATTGGAAGCTTTGTCACAACTCTGAGTTTCACGTATTACTACGATCGTCAGGCAACTGATGGCTCCAAAATGGGCAGCCTGAACATAAGGTGGGAAATTCTGAGGGGTATCATAGGCGACGTGTATCATAGCGCAAGTCAGGTGCAGGCGTGAAGTTGCCAAGTCTCCAGCGTGAATGATATAGAATAGAGCTGGGAACTTAAATGCCAAATCCACACATGCCCACACCATTACACCCTGTCGGGGAACCCGATACTAGTACAACCCACACCCACACACTCTGTCCCTTTTCTCACATACACGCACACGCGCGTACACGCACAGACACAGACACACACATCCACACACACACGTGCACACACACTCATTCTCTAAATCTCTCTCTCTCACACACACACACGTTCTCTCTCTCACACACGCAGTGACGCACACATTCTCTCTCTCACACAAACACACACGCACTCTCTTTCTCACGCATGCACACAAACACATACACTCACACATGCGTGCGCACACTTACTCACACACACACACACACACACACAAATTGGCAGCGGGACTACCAGCTAGATTCACGTGATCTTGCGGACAAAGTTACGGAGGTAGAACTTGTTTTCATGATGACACTTGAACACAAGTATTTCTGTATCATTATTTTATCTCTTTTCAAACAATCCACAAGCCAAGAAGAGATGCGTAGACGGAAGAACCGTACTCTTGGTGATACTGATCGCAATCATGATTAATTCCTCCAGGCCATTGAGCACCCAATTCTAAACCTTATCTAACCAAAGTTTTTGTCAAAGGCAGCATGCCAGTTCAAGAACATCTCGTCAGATATACATGGCGATACATGTCTGGTGCACTCTCACTAACAAGCAAGCATCGCAGAGTACATTCGCACCAGCAATCACAAGAAGTTGTAGTGAGTGAATATTTCTATAAAATTAATAAGTAAAAGGAAAATACGTAATGGACAAATGAGGGTGTGGAGGATCGCCCAAAAACACTGACACGGAGACAGTAAACGGTACGCAGTACTCGTATGCATGTACTTATAATACACGTCATAGCAGCACAACGAGAAAGAAAATGTTCCATAATGTTACATCACTAAATTTTACAGAGTTATTTTGGGAGTAGGAATGAAGTTGTGTTCGAAGCAGTAAACTGCATAAGCACTACGTTGAGCCAGAATATTGAAATACAGTTTCCTGCAGTCAAAACAAGACACTCACATTTCTCTGGTCTTGTTCGCCATTTTTATAGCTAACATGACTTGATTAAATTTCTTACGATGGGTCTTGAGAATGGATCAATGATGTCTTGAATATATGTGTAGGACTCAGTATAGAGTCCATGCACTATATGATGTCCAGCACCCTATATAGAGTCCATTGGTCCAAAATCCACTATACAGAGTCCAGGAGTCCACTCAGTTTTGATCAGCTTCATCCTGCCGCGCAATCCCCTATAAGGAGTACACTTTTTCTACAAGTCCCCTATTCACGGTCCAGGATCGGAGTCCAGTTTATCCAGTCACGCCGTCCTGTGTGTTGTGCCCGAAAGAGAACACATTTTCAGTTTTGCTTGCCTCGTGGCAGCGCATTCCTTTCTTCACTTCAGCCATGGCTGCCAATTCTGCTGTGCAGTTGCTGACAGTAATCTGTCTCGAGCTAACCAAGGAGGATAAGGAGACGTTCAAAATCAAATCTGGAAAGCGTCTTGTGGTTCTCTGAAGACGTTTCATCAGTGCGCGGGATGAAAGCAGAAATTGCAGAACGAGAAAAGTTCAGCACAGTTCAAATCTGACGAGGCAGGTACACTGACGCTCTCTTTCGTTCGACGCCACAAGGATCCCCTGTTTGGCTGGCCATTTCTGCCAGTAAGACGTTTGAACGGTTTCATCAGAGCGAGGGATGAAAGCAGAAAGCGGAGAAAGAGAAAAGTTCAGCACAGTTGCAATCTGACGAGTCAGATACACTGACACTCTCTTTCGTTCGACGCCACAAGGATACCCCTGTTTGACTAGACAAGAGCTGCCTGTACCACCGTGTCAAAAGGCTGTGCAACTACATGGCAGGACGATGACTGAGGTAAGGAAGCTTTTACTCGTTTCGATTGGTCTGCTGTTCTGTCGTTATGCTTGAAATTTTTTTCCATTTTCAAGGAGCGTATCGCGTTTGTTTGATGTTGCTTGAATGAATGCCCTAAAAGTAATCAACCACTTCGTAATAGTCCTCAAGGACTGCAAGGACTTTGCATCAATCGTATATTATGATCGTCTAGCTATCATCAATAATTATTTTATTTCATGAGAAATGTATTTTTATCCCTGTGATAATTATGTGAACTCCACGACACTCTTCCTGTAGTATGATATCAAATACAATGGGATCCACAAACGCAGTGCCAGTGTACTAGTAGTAGTAGGACTAGGAGGATTGCTTGTATGCCAATGATAAGAAAAAGCTTCTCAAGCTAATACTCGTAGCTAATACTCGTATTCCCTGAAGTAACCGTTTTGATGTCACGAACATGACATTGTGTCAGTGAAACTGCCTCGTGACAACAAATCATTGCATTTCCATTTTGGGGAAGACTGACAGCAACGCTGTACAGATTGTTCAAATCATCTCATTTCAATTTAGTTGCAGTGAAGTGAAACACTGTGTACACTACATGTATGTTGGTGTGTCTGTGCGTCTTGAGTGTGCACAAACGATCTTATTCCTCGTATTACTAATAGATTATTTTCCCCACCATCACCTGTTCACAGGTCTTTGAGTGGATTGATTTTCATTGAGCATCACATTCGTTGAGAACTTGGTAGTTGTGTGCTCCCATGCATCATTACGGTAATAAGCGTATCCTTGTGCTATCTATTTGTTGCAGGTGTGCTGATCTTCAGAAGCTTGCGGAACTGAGTGCTGCTGAACATTTGCATGGCCATGAGCAATGGTGAAGCTTGCTATTGCACTCTCAGCATGTACTAGTATTATGCTGACCACTGCACTATGTTACTCTCTTACACTACTACGTGTATGTAAACGTGCGTGTACCCGTCCCCGTACGCATTCGTTTCGTATAATTATTTGTTATCCCTCTTGACTTTACATGTAAGTGGGTGGACGTTTGCATGGCTGTTGGAGTTGCGTGTGTATTGTGTATCTACTCTTTTCTTGGTGTTTTCTTGGCGTTGTATAAGTTTGTGTGTGTGTGTGTGTGTGTGTGTGTGCGCGCGCGCGCGCACAATAATTTGAAAACAAATAATTAATCCTGGGCTCTCCATTATTCCCTTTCGATTCTTGTTTTTTTTCTAGGTATTTTCTTGGCGTTGTGTGGGTGTGTGCATGTGTGTGCGTGCACAATAATTTGGCAACACTACATGATTGAGATATTGTAATTTGCAGCGTCTGCGAAGAGACCACTTGATTTGAGGATGGTGTTTGTAGGGTTTTTCATGTAATGAAGTGGCTGCAGTGGCGCCTCAATACATATTTTTTTATCTTGAGAAGTGAATGATGTAAAGGATTAAAGGGAGAGGCCGTTTTCTGGTTAATATTCACTGCTTACAGCAGATCCTATGTCTATTTTCGAACTCGATAGGGGATGCCTAATTGGCTGGACTTTATACAGGGGGTGTTGTCCACATAGACTCTTTATAGTTGATTTCAAAGTTTGGACTCCGTACAGTTGATTTTGGACCAATGGACTCTATATAGGGGTGAAGCCAATTGGCTGGACTCTATACAGGGAGTGATGTCCATCGAAACTTTGAGCTCACAGTTGATTCCAAGTTTGGACTCTGTACAGTGGATTTTGGACCAATGGACTCTATATAGGGGTTGGACATCATATAGGGGCTGGACGCTCTACTGAGTCCAACATATGTCTTCCCTGAACGACTTCAACTGAGAGGCAGTTTCAGTTTCAACAAGCTAGCCATTGTTTTTCTGTGGCGTCTTCCACAAGAAAGACAGAGCTACACACACGAAGGTGCTTGATGTACTCAGTACCTTCTTGGAGATGAACATATTTTCTTTTCCATCTTCATTATATTTTCGTCTCTGCATCGTCGACGATGTCGACTTCTGACTCCGTAATCTTGTCACCCATCCTCTCCAAAAACACAAAGCGAGAGCTGCTTGTATGCTGGATCAGTTGAAATCAGTCTCCGTTCTAGCAAGATCGGCATGCAAAAAATTACTTGACTGAAAATATTCCGAAATAGCTTTTCTGAACGACGAAGTTTGTTCTTCAAAGATGATGAATAGCACAATCTACTAGCCAGAACGTCCTCTCAAAAGAGATTCTATCTGAAGCCTGCAAGATTTTCGACCACCCTTCGTTTTGGAGAGGAGCCCACACACACCAGACTCGAGCTACAAGTAAACTACGCGGAGATCGAGAGTTGATCGAAATATTTCTTGCTCACTTCTGAAACCTGTGTCTGTGAATGAAAAAAGTATGCTGATCGCGTGAATGTCTACAGTCGAGTCGTAATATTTTGACGTGGTCCCTGTGAGTGACCGTTCACAGAGAAAGTCGCGGCTGTTTTTGACTGGTCATCGGGATTCAAACTGGTGTGTGACTTTATGACTTGTCTTCGGGGATTTGTGAGTGTTTGATTGGTCACGGGGATCGTGATCGGTCATCGAGACGTGAATGCTTACTGAGTCCCACATATAGTCAGGTAGCGCGACAAAAAAGCACAAGGATATTGAGACATTCGACCTAGCTTGGTGGACTGCTAGTCATAACTAGTAACTTCTAGATCCTTTTCTCTTAACTTAAAGGTTACTATTCTCTCAACCTCAAAAGAAATTAGTACCACCTGGCATACTTTTCTCTTCACAGATTACTATTGGTTCAACATCCGAGTTTGTAAAGAGAGAATTGTCCTTCCTTACCCGTACAAGTTGGCATCGCACTCCAATTTCCTCCAGCCAAACATTGAACGTGATCTTGTCCACTGGTGTGACCATATCCAGCACGGCACAAGACTGTAACGTTAGTTCCGACAGGACTTCTTGGGATGTCGTGGATTGTTGCGCTGCTCTGTTTCCCACAGTGCCTGACTGCTCGAAGCATAGAGCGTACAAAGTCTGTATACAGTCGAATCTTATAATGTCCAGCTCTACTAGTCAACATTCACGTCGTACTCCTTTTTATAATTATGACTGTATTTTTCATGCGCATTGAATTTTGTTGTTAACAAGGAAAGAAAGGACAACTAGTTCCGAGATATAGTGACCCAACAAGCCACCACGCCGACAGGGAGTACTCTGAAATTCAACAAACGGAAACTTGGCTCAAAAATTATCTTTTTTTATCCAGGATTTTCATTGGCTCAAGATCGGCTAAACATCAAAGTTCTAACCTTATTCTTTATGAAAAGCAATATGCAATTTCCAATTTGGACTTCACTCGAGCTACAAGTAAACTACGCGGAGATCGAGAGTTGATCGAAATATTTCTAGCTCACTTCTGAAACCTGTGTCTGTGAAGGAAAAAAGTATGCTGATCGCGTGAATGTCTACAATTGAGTCATAAAATTTGTACGTGGTCCCTGTGACCGTTCACAGAGAAAGTCGCGGCTGTTTTTGACTGGTCATCGGGATTCAAACTGGTGTGTGACTTTATGACTGCTCTTCGGGGATTTGTGAGTGTTTGATTGGTCACGGGGATCGTGATCGGTCATCGAGACGTGACTGCTCACTGAGTCCCACATATAGTCAGGTGGCGCGACAAAAAGGCACAAGGATATTGAGACATTCGACCTAGCTTGGTGGACTGCTAGTCATAACTAGTAACTTCTAGATCCTTTTCTCTTAACTTAAGAGAGCATTTTCAAATTTGGACTTCACGGAGAATTTTCAAAGTGTTAGGAAATTTGAGGCCACATGCCACGTACTGCTCTTTTCTCTCCGAAACTCAACACTTGCAAGCCAGATATGAAAGAAAGAAAAAATCATCAGTCACACCACCGGGACTCGAACCAGGGACCTTGCTATTCGCGAGCAATGCTCTAACCAACTGAGCTACAGTATGACTCTTATCCACAATGGTGGTAAATCTATCCTTCTTCGATCAATCAATATCTGGCTTGCATCATACTGGCAACTCACACCAATCAAGAGGGCCCTCGGCCATTCGCTTGATATCATGGGGAGCGCATCAAACTATGTCCACTGCGAGCAAACAACAAATTGCAATTTCAAATTTGGACTTCACGGAGAATTTTCAAAGTGTTAGGAAATTTGAGGCCACATGCCACGTACTGCTCTTTTCTCTCCGAAACTCAACACTTGCAAGCCAGATATGAAAGAAAGAAAAAAACATCAGTCACACCACCGGGACTCGAACCAGAGACCTTGCTATTCGCGAGCAATACTCTAACCAACTGAGCTACAGTATGACTCTTATCCACAGTGGTGGTAAATCTATCCTTCTTCGATCAATCAATATCTGGCTTGCATCATACTGGCAACTCACACCAATCAAGAGGGCCCTCGGCCATTCGCTTGATATCATGGGGAGCGCATCAAACTATGTCCACTGCGAGCAAACAACAAATTGCAATTAGTTAGAGCATTGCTCGCGAATAGCAAGGTCCCTGGTTCGAGTCCCGGTGGTGTGACTGATGATTTTTTCTTTCTTTCATATCTGGCTTGCAAGTGTTGAGGTTAAGAGAGCATGTCTGAGAAAACCAGAACATATGTGCAAGTCGATCTCTCAGATTTCGCTCACATTTTGCAGGTAGGTTTGCTTTGGGGTGTAGATCGACATTCCAAAGCCCGCACAAAATCTTTTGAAGGGAACCATGAAATTGGCATACCCCTCAATATTGGCCCAATATTGGCACGATTTATTGGTCTACAAACGATCTACGGCACAGCGTACAAGAACAAGCTACGAACAAAACTCCATCCTGCCAACGTTACCTCACCTTAGAAGAGTTCTTGGGGCAGCACCACTTAGCCACGCCAGCATCCCAGAAGACGAGGGCAATCATCCCTTGACGCCACAAATGATCGTCTTGAAAATAGCCAAATTACAAGCGCTGATAAAACAGCGAGCTACGTCCTCAATTAGCAAACACTAAACACCGGCAGATAGTAGAACACCTCTTCTAGCACTGAGGACATGTCCCCCATCATCCTTTTGGGGTTTTCTTGAAATAAATAATTTTGAATTTTTCCACTCGACCATTCTGAAATACGTCCAAACTCATAACTGCGCAGGAAAGCTCGCCCCTCCGCGACGTCTAGTCAGCAATTTCTACTCCAACACCACTCCCAACGCTGCAGAACAAAGTGTATTGTTGGCTCTGACAAGGAAAAGCAGCGGTGATCACTTGTCACTCCAAACGACAAGCTTCTCCTTGCGCCAACAACATTTTTCGGTGCAACAGTTGATGCAAAAGTGACTGAATTGTTGCGTGTAGTTTTTGGATTTTACTGCAAGAGGAATGATGAAATCACGTGCTTCGTGACACAAGAATGCCAGGTCTCGTAGATCACGGTTCAGCAGTTGTTCCGAGTCACCTTGATCAAGCGCACCTGCACTTACACGGATCACCCGTTGATCAAGATCGGATCAAGTGCATCTTGATGTCCAGCTCAAGAGCACGCATGTCGTGTTGTAGGCCTTCCAGCCGGGACTTTCCCTCAAAATGCAGCACACAGACTAGGGCGAGTAGGGTCAAATCACGTTGTTCATGACGTAAGAAATCTGCCATGTGGGCGCGCCACATACCCCATACAACCAGTGTAGGCCGCGCGATGGTCAACTCCAAGCGACCTTGATGGCATGGACAACGGTCATTCCTTGCTGTTTCAGATCTACGTGGATCATCAGCATGTAAATTAGCCGTAGTTCCTGTTGAACCATGTTCGGGATGAGCGAGGTTAATGTGAACAAATGCATCCCTGTTCTTACTGCAAGAGGAAATATCTCAAAGAATTCTTGCCAATGCAATACTGCTAGTGCTATAACGATAGTTTCTGAATGTTCTGAGCAGAGCATGCAAGAAATATAATGCATCTTACCTCCTCCCTCATGGTCCGTTTCGAATAGCGCCTCGGGAACGATCGTGATCATGTGCATTGTGTCGTGCACCAGAAAGCATTTTCCTACGTCACGATGCACGTGATTTCTTCATTCCTCTTGCAGTAAAATCCAAAAACTACACGCAAAAATTCAGTCACTTTTGCATCAACTGTTGCACCGAATTATGTTGGTGGCGCAAGGAGAAGCTTGTCGTTTGGAGTGACAAGTGATCACCGCTGCTTTTCCTTGTCAGAGCCAACAATACACTTTGTTCTGCAGAGCTGGGAGTGGTGTTGGAGTAGAAATTGCTGACTAGACGTCGCGGAGGGGCGAGCTTTCCTGCGCAGGTATGAGTTTGGACGTATTTCAGAATGGTCGAGTGGAAAAATTCAAAATTGTTTATTTCAAGAAAACCCAAAAAGGATGATGGGGGACATGTCCTCAGTGCTAGAAGAGGTGTTCTACTATCTGCCGGTGTATAGTGTTTGCTAATTGAGGACGTAGTTCGCAGTTTTATCAGTGCTTGTAATTTGGCTATTTTCAAGACGATCATTTGTGGCGTCAAGGGATGATTGCCCTCGTCTTCTGGGATGCTGGTGTGGCTAAGTGGTGCTGCCCCAAGAACTCTTCTAAGGTGAGGTAATGTTGACTTGATGGAGTTTTGTTCGTAGCTTGTTCTTGTACGCTGTGCCGTAGCTCGTTTGTAGACCCATAAATCGTGCCGATATTGGGCCAATATTGAGGGGTATGCCAATTTCATGGTTCCCTTCAAAAGATTTTGTGCGGGCTTTGGAATTGCGTTCTACACCCCAAAGCAAACCTACCTGCAAAATATGAGCGAAATCTGAGAGATCGACTTGCAGATATGTTCTGGTTTTCTCAGACATGCTCTCTTAAAGGTTACTATTCTCTCAACCTCAAAAGAAATTAGTACCACCTGGCATACATTTCTCTTCACAGATTACGATTGGTTCAACATCCGAGTTTGTAAAGAGAGAATTGTACTTCCTTACCCGTACAAGTTGGCATCGCACTCCAATTTCCTCCAGCCAAACATTGAACGTGATCTTGTCCACTGGTGTGACCATATCCAGCACGGCACAAGACTGTAACGTTAGTTCCGACAGGACTTCTTGGGATGTCGTGGATTGTTGCGCTGCTTTGTTTCCCACAGTGCCTGACTGCTCGAAGCATAGAGCGTACAAAGTCTGTATACAGTCGAATCTTATAATGTCCAGCTCTACTAGTCAACATTCACGTCGTACTCCTTTTTATAATTATGACTGTATTTTTCATGCGCATTGAATTTTGTTGTTAACAAGGAAAGAAAGGACAACTAGTTCCGAGATATAGTGACCCAACAACCACGACGCCAACAGGGAGTATTGTGAGATTCAACAAACGGAAACTTGGCTTTATCCGGGATTTTCATTGGCTCTAGATTGGCTAACCATCAAAGTTCTAACCTTAATGTTTATGAAAAGCAATGTGATTATAGAAAAGAGAATGGACCAAGGAATTTTGTGTAATCAAACCTTGGCTCTTCGCTCGAAAATTATTATAGAATGGCGATAAACAGAGCGACCTAATCAGTCATCTGACAAAGGCTCTGTTATATTTAAAACGAGTGGGACGAGAAATCAATGTGATATGGAAGAAACGATGAAAACAAGAATATTTCAAGCTTCCGTATCCACGCGTTTTGAACAAAATAAAGCCTTTGTGAAATGACTGTTCAGCTCGCTCTATTTATCACAATTCTAAATCTATTGTCGCATCGTCGCTTATCTAACTGTTTTTATACGTAGGTACTGGCATTATTAGAAAGGTAGTAATCTATCATATTCCAACGGATCAGTCGGGGAAGTGAAGTGCCCGAAAGGAGAAAAATCTGCGAGACCCACCAGAACTCCCACCCGGCCCATTGCTTGTCATGAGTAATGATCTTACTGCCTAAGCTATGGCACCAGCCTACGCCTAGTAGGAGCTGACTAGATGTTCACTTCAAAGGCCTTTTAAAACAAGTGCATTGCATGCTGATGACACTTGGGTCTTTTTCCCTTCCCAGGGGACAAATTACGACTAGTGTGGGGAACGTACTACCAGAGGTGAAAGAAAAGGTGACTTCTTTGGAGTGAAAAACTGCATCACATGCAAGCAACTACGCCTTCCTCGTGCATTATTGCCATTATAGGACGAAAAGTTCATGCAATAAATAGGAAGTGATTGGTGAGTAGCAAAATAATTATGTTGTATTGAAAATGTTGCGACAAATTTACTTTTCTGGCCTTACATGCTAGATCGATCTATTCGTTCTCAACAGTGACAAACTTCATTGCAAGATAATGCCAAAGACTGAAACTGTTGGACACAGTCATCTTGAATTGAGTTCAATAATAAGATCTCACCAGAACAAGTTGGTTGCGTACTCCATGTTCCTCCTGCCAAACATTGTATCTCATCAAGGCCATCTACATAATCATAGCCATCTCCGCACAGGACAGTAACGTTAGTTCCAATTGGACTTCTGGGGATGTCGTGAATTGTGCTGCTGATCAAACTCGCGCAATGCGTGACAGCTAGGAGCAAATAGAACACAATGTGGAGATACGGAAATTCGTAGCGTCAGTTTTTTCGCTGAGAAACTCATTTTACTACAGCATTATCTAGTCAAAGCTGCACAGTAAAATACAATCATTGTTCTTCATATTCCCTTATCACTCGCTAAGTAGTTGAACCCAAAATCGTACTGATCCCTGGCGGGCAAATATCACAGTGTGTTTGACTACAGAAACCTGCCTAAGACAACTGCTCAAGAGACTTTGCAATATGGTCTCTGGAACCAGGTGTTCTCCTTATCCAATGCCATTTGACTGGAAATAACATCCCTTGGTCCTGGCTATAGTGGTGTCTGGGACAGGTGGTCGCCTTGACAGATTTTGCTGTATTTTCACCTGTATGTAAATGACTCATTTTATTCGACCACTCTTGCATTGTGATCTTTCCACTTTTGATGACCTGTGAAACTCTGTTTCCTATTCCAGACGAGACTTTGATGCACTTGACAAAAATTTGAAGGAACCGGATTCCAAAATGGGACAGGACGTGTGTCAAGCAACCCGGAAAGAACCCATCGCATGTCGTAATTTAGAAAGAGAAATATTGTGAAAATAGAAGGAATCAGAGCCTGCTCGAGTTGCAGCTCTTATTGCCGATGTTGCCTCTTGATGCAGACTTGCACGAAGGCATATACATGTACAATCAAAACTAGACTGAAGGAGTGCCTACCCAAGCGAAGCCAAGCTAGGGAAAGCGAAGCCTATGGAGCGAAATACCCCATCTCTGGACCGCCATTTCCTTCCATCTTGTTCGATCTTATCTGGGGAGCGAAGTAAGTGGCCGAACAGATCACAATGCAAGCTAGTCATTCATATAGCATTGGTTAAGAATTCGAAAATTGCTAGTCTAAAGCGAGGGTCCTTGGTTCAATTCCGGACAGTGAAGGCAATGTTGCGGGCTTTCCGTTTCGTGCACCCTCCATCATATGGATGCTTTCCACCTTTTGTATAATTGCCTCCATTGTAGTTCATTTCAGTCTGAGAAAAATGGCGAAACGCGGTTTCGCTTCATGGTGCTTGCGGTGGGCGCATGCAGCCAACCCGCCTCCAAAGCAACAAGGTCTTTCCTTGGCGCTGATAGATGGAAATCTCTGCCTTTCTCGTGTCGTCAGGTTGAGTATCTATCCGTTTTTGTTTCTCTCTGTAAAGAGCACTTAGGGTTTGCTGTAACAAGATGGCACCGCCTGTAGGGCCTTCCCTATCAAAATAATGAATTCTACTACTACTTCTACTACAACTACTAATATAAGTTATGATGAAGAAAGGAAATAGGACAACATATTACGAGTTATGGTAAAATGTCCACCAACGTAACCAGATCTTATACAGTCAGCGAGTGTTTTCTTCATCATAACTAAAATTATTGGCTCGCCATCCGAGTTCAACTACTAAGTTTGCAGATATATTCCCAGTAATATTTTTCTGTTTATCGCAATTCTAAACCTAATGCCGCATCGTCGCTTATCTAAATATATTTATACCTAGGTACTAGCATTATCACGGTAGAAAGGTAGTAATCGGTCATATTACACCGGATCAGTCGGGGAAGTGAAGTGCCCGAAAAGAGAACAATCTGCCAGACCCACCAGGACTCCCACCCGGCACATTGCTTGTCATGACTAATGCTCTAACTACCTAGGCTATGGCACCAGCCTGTGCCTAGTATGCACTGACAAGATGTTCACTTCAAAAGCCTCTTAAAACAGGTTCATTGCATACTGATGGCACTTGTGTCTTTTTCCTTTCCCAGGGGACAAATTACGACTAGTGTCGGGAACATACTACCAGAGGTGAAAGAGAAGGTGAATTCTTTGGAGTGAAAAACTTCATCATATGCAAGCAATTACGCCTTCCTCATGCACTATCGCCATTATAGGACGAAAAGATCATGCAATAAATAGGAAATGAATGATTGCGGACTAGCAAAAGATGTTGTATTGAAAATGTTGCGACAAATTTACTTGTCTGGCCTTACTTGTAGGATCAATCTATATCGTTCTCAACAGTGACAATGCCAAACTTCATTGCAAGACAACGCCAAATACTGAAACTGTTGGAGTATCACCAGTTTCGTAGTTAACACAGTCCTCTTGAATTGAGTTCAATAATAAGATCTCACCAGAACAAGTTGGTTGCGTACTCCATGTTCCTCCTGCCAAACATTGTATCTCATCATGTCCGCACACATAATCATAGCCATCACGGCACAAGACAGTAACGTTAGTTCCAATTGGACTTCTGGGGATGTCGTGAATTGTGCTGCTGATCAAACTCGCGCAATGCGTGACAGCTAGGAGCAAATAGAATACAATGTGGAGACACGGAAAGTCGTAGCGTCAGTTTTTTCGCTGAGAAACTCTTTTTACTACAGCATTGTCTAGTGAAAGCTGCACAGGAAAATAAAATCAATGTCCATTATCTTCCCTTATCGCTCGCTTAGTAGCTGACCCCAAAATGGTACTGATCCCTGGCGGGTAAATACCACAGTGTATTTGACTACAGAAACCTGCCTAAGACAACTGCTCAAGAGACTTTGCAATATGGTCTCTGGAAAGAGGTGGTCTCCTTATCCAATGCCATTTGACTGGAAATAGCATCCCTTGTTCTTGGCTATAGTGGTGTTCTGGGACAGGTGATCGCCTGGACAGATTTTACTGTATTTTTTACCTGTAAATGACTCCTTTTATTCGACCACTTTTGCATTGTGATCTTTCCAACTTTGGTGCACTTCGAAATTCTCCTTCCAATTCCAGACGAGACTTTGATGTACTTGACACAAATTTAAAGGAACCAGATTCCAGAATGAGACAGGACGTGTGTCAAGGGACCCGGAAAGAATCCAACGCGAGTCGTAATTTGGAAAGCGTAATATTGTGAAAATTGAAGGAATCAAAGCCTGCTCGAGTGGCAGCTCTTATTGCCGATGTTGCCTCTTGATGCAGACTTGCACGAATGCATATACATGTATAATCAAAACTAGACAGAAGGAGTGCTTACCCAAGCGAAGCCAAGCAAGGTAAAGCGAAGCCGATGGAGCGAAATACCCCATCTCTGGACAGCTACTTCTTTCCATCTTGTTCGATCTTATCTCGGGAGCGAAGTAAGTGGGCGAACAGATAACAATGCAAGCTAGTCATGAACATAGCATTGGTTAAGAATTCGAAAATTGCTGGCCTAAAGCGAGGGTCCTTGTTTCAATTCCGGACAGTGAAGGCAATGTTATTAATATTATTATTATCATTTTGTTGCGGGCTTTCCGTTTTGTGCAACCTCCAGAATATGGATGCTTTCCACCTTTGTATAATTGCCTCCATTGTAGTTCATTCATTTTTAGTCGGAGAAAAAGGGCGAAACGCGGTCTCGCTTCATGATGCTTGCGGCGGGCGCATGCAGCCAACCCGCCTCCAAAGCAACAAGGTCTTTCCTTGACGCTGATAGATGGAATTCTCTGCCTGTCTCGTGTCGTAAAGTTGAGCTTCTATCCGAGTTTGTTTAGGTCTGTAAAGAGCACTTTGGGTTCCCTGGTACATGACAGCAACGCCTGTAGGGTCTTCCCTTTCAAAAATTATAATTTTTCCTACTGCTACTACTAATTTTGCAGATATATTCCCAGTACGCCATGAACAGAGACCCCCTCGAGTTAGGCCTCGGCCTTTGGGGAATCCATAAATAAAATAAAACTACTACTAAAACTACAACATGTACTAGGCATGCTTAGCAGTCGTGGAGAAATCAAATAGAGCGAAAAGCTTATTTTTACTTTATTGAAAATACGCACATTTCAATTCTTACGTCCATTGAAAGTTTACTTTCATGACGTATGCTAAGATGATCCTTGCCCGGAGAGATTCCTAGGGCGGGTTTGGTTGGTACGACCTAGAACAAGATTCACCAGAGCAACGCGTTTGGTTGGGACTCAACCTGTTTTGGGTCGGCCAGGTCATGGCGGGCATTGCGGGTTCAGATGAGGTGTGTATGATTCAACACCTGCTGTATCGTACCTCTGTAGCTGTCAAGATCGGCAGGAAGGAATCAAATCCCTTCGAAGCCAATATCGGGACTCCGCAGGGAGATGGGCTCAGCACGATCCTGTCCGTTTGTTACCTGGAGGCTGCCCTGCGGGAGTGTCGGGACCGTTTCCCTCCAAGGCCAGAGCATGATAACATGATCCCACCAGAGACAAGTTACGCTAATGATGTTTACTTCCTGTCCCGTAAGTTATCTTGGCTCAAGGAAGGTTTGCCCACGATAAGTGCCACACTCGGAGTCCGGGGTCTGAAAGTAAACGAGACGAAGACCGAATGGATCGACTTAACGTCTGAAGGTTAAATATGGAAGAAATCTAAACAGCTTGGGTCCTACTTGGGCGAGGGTGATGATATTGCTCACTGCATGGGAAAGGCCTCGCAGGTCTTTGGCAGGATGTTCTCCCTATGGCTTCGGAAGGAGAAGGTATCAGAAAAACGCCGGCTGAGAATATACAATGCCCTCGTGATCTCCACCCTCCTCTACAATTGTGAGACGTGGGACTTACGGAGGGCAACCTGGCATCCCTGGACGTATTCTACCGGAAACAGCTACGCACGATTCTTGGAATTCGTCACCCAGACCATAATGAATGATGCCTTGTACAAGAGGTGCAGCTCTGAACCGATATCTGCAATTGTAAAGCGCCGCAGAACGCAAATGCTAGGGCACGTCCTTCGGATGGACCCCAATGCACCTGCCTTCAGAGCTGTGACATGCTACCTGAAGCGAGACGCTACCGTGGTAGACCGAAGACAACCCTCGCCATCACAGTCATCAAGGACCTCCAAGAAAGGAACATTCCGTTGAAGAGTTTTGGGGTCTTGGAAGAGGTCCGCGCCACTGCCACTGACAAGAATCAGTGGCGTGCCATGTTCCGTCAGTATCTGCTGCATTTTGTCCGCTCCGCTCAGTGACTCCGTTCGTAATGTTCAAGCAGTAACCGCTGCATTTTGGCCGCTCAGTAACTATTAGTGCTTGCACTCCATTTCCCACATGCGCCGGCACAGTCCCCGCACGCACACTAGCACATGCATGCGCGTACTTACATACACACCTCTATCCGATTGTGCACTTTCATTTCTCTCGGGTGTTTTTCTTTTCCTTTTTTTCACAACCATCAAATGTAGCAGAGCTCAAAAGAGACAGACGCGGAAAGGTTAGCATTGCTCCGGCCTCGAAGCCGAGGCAGACGGAGCAGTTTCACTCTTTCACAGTGAAACCTTGCGGGAACATCGATTTTGGTCTCTAATGATCAAGTGTATACGCTTTTGGGTTGGATTCGTAGTATCGTACAAAGTGACCATGGCGAATCATACATATGTTAAAGATTGCACCAAGTTTGGCATATTTTTCAACACAAATGCGTTTCTGTAGTACCGTTTAGTAGGCACAAGGCTGCTCCATATGAACCCTTATCTAATCTTGTTCTTAAATCTTTTCTCCCTTTCCATCGTCAGTAGTATAAGGGGAGGGGGTTCTGGACCACCTTCCAGGTGGTCCAAAATCGACTTTCTCGATCGGCCCTTCGGGCCTCCCTCCAAAGTCTCCCCCTCACCCTATACTACTAGGGGAACGTGTGAGATAATGACTCTTACCAGGAGATAGGTCTGCCATACAGTTCCCCCTCTCCTATCCTATAGTTCTAACCCTTCAATACACTTCTTTTTCTTTATGGTAAGAAATGTGTGTGTGTGAGATCCAAGTACTAATTTTACACCTCCAAGTACTAATTTTACCACTCCAACCACTGATCCCATGTTGGCTCAACCCAGTTCCAGAAAAGTGAGCCAACTTGCTGTCTCCGAGAAAATCGGAAGTGAGCCAACTTCAGCTTTTTCACTTACCCCATCTTGGCTCACTTCGAGGACTGATGTGGGATCGGTTTCTGAGCCAACTTCGGGTGGGTTCATGTTGTCGGTATTCCCGATGTAATTCCCGATGTTGTCGGTGTTCCCGATGTTGTCGGTGTTTTCGGTATTCCCGATGTAATTCCCGATGTTGTCGGTGTTCCCGATGTTGTCGGTGTTGTCGGTATTCCCGATGTAATTCCCGATGTTGTCGGTGTTCCCGATGTTGTCGGTGTTGTCGGTATTCCCGATGTAATTCCCGATGTTGTCAGTGTTCCCGATGTTGTCGGTGTTGCCCTTGTTCGTGATCTCTCGGACCATTTTCCGTAAACCTAATAATTCAACTCGATTTGCAGCCTAATCTCTTCTTTTATTGTTGTTCTGATTTGCACTTTTTTTTTGTTTTTTCTTCTTTTTTTCTTCTTTTTTTTGCCATGGCTGGCTATATTCGCCCTCACCTCCTCCTTGATTTGCCTTGGCCATGAGTGTGTGCGTAGTAATAATATACGGCTGGCAGGGTTCGCGAATCCCGCAGTCACTGAGGAAGCCAGTTCATCCAGTCCGAACTTTTTCAAGAGCGGTTTGTGACTTTGGCGAGAGTAACGCTTCAGCTGATGGAGCGACAAGAGGTCCTTTTTATGTCCGATTGATAGTCAGTCCACTATCTCTGCGGCAATTAGGTTTTCTCCGACACACGGACCTTCCTGCTCCAAGTCATTCTCGTCCCCGTCGTTGTCAGACTGACGGAGGTGGCGCTTCTTTGCGGCCCCTGCGAACGCGATGTCGTGTCCGCCATCCCGATCATCGCTGTCATCGTACCCAGGGATATCGCAGTAGAACGGGTCGTCGTGCTCATTTAGGAGAGACGCAACCTCATGCGACACACCCACAAACTCAATGTTTCGCTTATGTACACAGTCTGCAACAACATGAAATAAATTAATATGATTCTCTCACCCGCATCTCTCGGCGTTCATTGCGTACTGTATTGGGCTACCCATCCACCGAAGATGTTCAGTGTGTTCTGTGTCGAAACTACCTCACACCCATCACTATCCTTTTGTCCCTTCTTCTTGTATTCAGATGCGTTCCTTCTGCCACTTCATTGTAAGTTCTGTGCCACCTTCTGCCCTCGCCAATTCTGAGGCACGTAACTGCACCTGCACAAGGTCTCAAGTCTCGCTTGGACTCGTACTGCCACGAGCCTCCTCTCGATTTGGTTATTCCTTTCTTTCTTTTTTTAGCCGGTGATCGCTGAAACTCAGTTCCGGCAATGGTCCGCCTTGGTGCTTCACCAAGTCAATTTCGTATCACAATCCGAAATTACCCCGTAAGAACTCCATAGGTCTGTGGGGACTGCCCTAGAGAAATATGACTAAATACTAAAATACTTCATCGTTACGCACCATTCTGACTACCTACAATCGATCAATTGATAGATCTAACCTGCAACAAAAACATTCAAGATCGACTTCGTCTTTGACTTCATTGCCTTCACGATCGATCGCGGTCGCGTTTTCTGTGGGTGACTTTGACGTCACATTTTGATGAAAGTTAAAATCAGTTCATGAGGTTCACGTAGTCAGTCGACGGCTGAAGTATTCTATCATGCCACACCAATTCTCTCTGCACACAAACCACAAACCCATCCAATATAATGGTACACAAGCATATCGCTAGTGAGATAATACATGTAACCTCGTTCTAAAAGAGCTAGAACATGGCAAGGAGGGCCTTATGGCTTGTTTGTGCCCTCAAGTTACCTAGTTACCTATCGGGCACTAGCAAGCCATGCCCTTCCTGGCTTGCACTTACCTATGAATATACTATAGGTGGATACAGGCGGAAACAAGTACAAGGCTTAGCGGGGGCCCGGGTATGTAATATTTTGGGCCAACTTGCAGGTTGAGGATTGTGTGAAACTGGGTGTTAGATGCCTATAGCATAAAGGAGGCAGTGTGTGCCTATTTTTCAAGACACTAGCTGTTGGATGCCTGTACTACAGCAGAGCCAGTTAAATCTGAGGAGTTACAGTTAGTAACTTGGAAGGTTCTAAGTTATATGATAACATAGGGAGGGGACGATCACCGTATGAAACTGCTGCTTATTGTCCATCTACACTGTTATTGTCGAAATACAGTGCTGTTTTACAAAGGCGTTCGGTTTTGCATGATGATTGTTCGCGCAGCTCTCCTTTTAAATTGACCTTCGAATCGTTGAGGAACACAACTTGTGTGGAAAGTTGGTTTGCATCCTTGAATCGTGGTTTGACCGTATTGCCCTATGGTCTTGCCAGTAGTTAGTGAATATTATACTGTGGTGGAAATGGAAATCCAGTCGATTGACCTGGGCTGGCGCCCTCAGCGCGCACAGAACGTAAGTCGTTCCATGCAGTGCACATGTTGATCCGATGCAACCAGCAGCACCGCATAATAATACAGTACTGGCAACTGAAATCCGACACACTTGCCGGCGCGCCGCGCCATCAAGTGGGTCGGATTTCAGTTGCCAGCACTGTACTTGGTACGGCTACATGGCGAGCGCGTTGGGGCCGCTAGACGTACGACCGGATTTCCATGTCCACCACAGCAGTGTAACTTGTAGTTCTTTACTCTCTTTTTTCTACTTGATCTCTAGTGCTGCTACATTACGCATTGCCCGCTATTTGTCGTAGCTGGAGCACTCTGGCGATAAAGCGACGAGCTGCAGACTACCCAAAAATCCGCTGAAAATCGAATTTGTAAATTCATATTGAGTGCTACGTCAGTTGAAAGAGCATGAATAGCTGCAAATTCTCTGAAAGTTGTATCCCGATCTTACCAGCCTTTCAAGAGTTTTGGCCGAAAATGTGCCCTTGCAAGGAAAGATTTTTGTTGCACGCTGTCATTTGTTGGCAGCACTTTATTTGAATCTGAGCAGACCGTGCGCAACTTGTCGTATCATGGAAACACGCGAAAGTGTGAAGAATTTTGCTCCAAGTCCAAAAAAGTCCAAATAACATGGTTACAAAATCACGTATTGGGCTGCACGGCGGCGGGCTTCGTGCTGTAGGACTTTTGCCAGCACCCTTGCGACGTTGCAGAGATGTGGCTTGATTATTGTAGTTGACGTTGATTTAGTGACTTTGGCAAGTTTGAGTCGTGTCAAGAAGTCAGGTAGGATTCAGTACTAGGCAGTAGTGTAACGTGAGTGGTAGTCTTTGCCGGTTTCTGAGGGTATCCTGGATTTGGTGTGCAGCGCTGTGGAAATGGCTTGCTGTGGACGGCCCAGCACTGGATGTTGTATCAAAGGTACGACCTCGTAGCACGTGCTCAACCTAAAAAATCAAAAATTGACTTGGGTCTGTGGGAGTCTGTGAGAGAACGCCCACTCGTTCCGTTGTGAAAGATTCCAGGGCCACGTTGAGGGGCCCTACCCCATCACCCTTGGCTGCTTCAGGACTTGTTTTAGGTTTCGGTCCCGCGCACCGACAGAATGGGCACGAAAATGGGAAAAATTGTAAATGCATCTGTTTGGCTCCTGGGCGGCTAGCACACCAGGGCGCTATGCCGGAAATTTGAGTTTTCCGACCTAGAAAGCCTGTCAGTAAGGCGCAAGAACTTGTAAATTATGGCCTGAGGGCCAGCATAGTGGCAGGAGTATGTGGTCAAAATTTCCCTCAAATCTTTTGAGAAACGACCAAAGTTACGGTCAATTGAATGCCATATGAAATTTATGGGTAGGCTGCCCCCTTAATTTCTGTGGTGCCTACTTTACACCATGGCTGGTAGCGCGGCTTGCGTAAAGCCAGTGTCCGTGTGGATTGAGGCCTTTATGGCCAAAACAGTTTGCTATCTACAACAATGGGTATACATGTACAGAATTGTTCATTTACCCGTAATGCGTAGGTGATAGTCAACGCGGGACGTGTCACGATCGGATCTACAATGGTATGTTCCATTGTGTGTCAGGTTTAGTATGGGATGCTCATCTGTGTTCACAAATACTACTGGATATTGGCGTAGATCTAGGTAGTCCGATTTTTCTCCCAAAACCAAACTGCCATCCGTTTTCTCTAAGCGAATGAATCCTCTTGCATATCTTGTCACACAAAATGGCAAGTTAGACATTGCCGTGGTTGATGGTTGTCCATTTACGAATGTGAAACTAGGAGATGACCTTCGATGTAAAGAACCAGGTACCCCCAGCTCTACATATTTACCTGGGAGAACAGGCAAATTCGGCACAAAGCCACAACACTTAATGAAACGCTTGAAATACATAATGTTACTATATATAGTAAGATCAGGTCACGCAGCTGCAGAAAGGGTGTTCAAAATTAGAGATTGACCAATGGCATAAAACGAATCTAGCAATGGTTAGCCAAGAAAGTTGTTGTTACTTCGAGTCTCGTGCAAATGTACTGATCAGACAACTTCATGATGACACTCACAGTATAAAACACGCAACAATGTCTAAACGTGGAGGAAATGGTAAGGGATTGCAGTGCTAGGTTTCAAAAGCCATGCAAAACGGATTGGACTCTTTTGGAGCCAACGATGGGGAAGAGGGGAGTGAAAGATTGATAAAATTGTGGATTTCCACATGCAGAGAGATTTTGTGACGTCCGTGTACTTTGATAACTTGTATTTGATGCTCTGCATACATTTGGTGACGAATTCGCGCTGCGAATAGACCCATACGGAGAAAATTGTCCAGGTTCAAAAGGGGGCATGCCAACTGAGACTGCAGTGCACAACCGAAAGATTGCACTATCTGACTAACATCCGGCACAAGACGTGTGTGATAGTTTGCGTGTGCATGCGGAGTAAGTACACGGGTCTCCCGTTAGTTGCATGCAGGAGAAATGATGCGAGAGAAAGCAAACCCTTTTGTGGATTTTCTCTCTCGCAACGGTAATGTTCTGCTGTTTGAGTCCAAATGCGCAGCCATAATACATGTTTTGCTCTTCTGTGCAGTGTGAAGAGGTAAACGAACACGTAGAGTAGATTCTGCTGAAGAAGGCAAGGCTGTGGTTTAACGCTATAGGCCCTAAATCTTACGAGATATTTCGAGTGCTATTATTTGTAGCAAGCGCTTCGTCTTCGATGAGTCCTGCCTCTTTCCTGCCAGGTTTCCTCCAATATGACCAGCCACGACAGCCAACAAGTGACTGTACTCAACTGCAGCTCCAAAAGCTTTCTGTATGTTGGCGATGCGACTCCGCATCAGATTACAACAGTGAGGACTTTTAAATGTGTACATGTTATTGAACTTTGACTTTTGAGGCAACATATCGACAACAACTCCTTGCTGTAATTTTTAGGGAGTCGATCGCCTTGCGAATGTTCCTCTCCTCGCAGAGAGCTAGCTGGCCTTCAAAGTCCATCACAGGCTTGCTTTGCAGCCCCTACTCCCCCTGCAGTTTTGTTATTGTATACTCTGTTGTCTTCTCCCCTTCTGACGAGTAGGTTGTGTACTTAGTAAAAAATTAAAAATTAATAAATTAAAAATCTGTGAGGGGCTGCCTAAGGTACCGCCCTGCCCGTCATTTGACTATCTGTTGACAGGACTCCATCAAATCCTTTTGTTTCAGCTTGGCGAGCAACAACGTCCCCCCCCCCAACTTCCAAAGAAGACCTCAATGTTCTGTCCTCTTGGGAATCTTTAGCATGGCTACGGCAGATTCTTGGCCTTGTCTATTTCCACCATGTATTCTCCCAATACCCCTCCTTGTTGTCTCACTTCCAGCTACCCTCTTCCCAAAGCAGTCGTCACCCTTCATCCATAATTCTTCCTAAAGCTGGCACCTTCTTTCGTAAATCAACCCTTTTTCTTTGAGTGTTGCCTGGAATAAACGTCCTGAAGATATTCGTTCACTCTCTACAACAGCGAAATTTAGTATTGCTGTTCGTCGGTATCATTCGCAATCAATGTTTTCTTTGAAAGGTATTCCTGACTTTTGTGTCTAGGCTAACCACATCTATGATAGTTTCAATAGCTTGTGTATATGTCAATTATAGTAGTGCGCAATGCTGCTTTTCTAATTCTCATTATGATTAGCATGCAATGTACTACCCGAAGTACTGAATTTACTTCTTCTGTACTCTATATTCTAATGTATCTTCTACCTCTTCTCCCTTAAGAACATACTTTCTCATTTTCCATACTTACTTAGGAGACTCCCTTCGATAGGCATCTATTTACCTCTGGAGGATCCGTGAAATAAAAATCAATCAAAAATCAATCAATCAATCAACGCATATGGCCGATTGGTTTGCAGGACTACCTGCGAATCATGAGGTCCCGAGTTCAAGACCCGCGCGGGTAGCGGGGAGGGTGTAAAAGGATTTTTAAGCGTGTTGAGGTGAGCCGACACCCACTGTCAACCACCAGGAATCGAACCAGGGACCCTCGCTTGTAGCCAACGATGCTCTAACCACTGAGCTATGGAGTAGTCGTCATCCCAGCAGAGACTACATTTTCTTCAGACTTCGTACCTCACACTTCCTATGAATCCACAACGGCAAGTGGGACGCAGCCCTCACTGTACCCACACCCAAGTCCCAAGTCATAAATTATTAACTGGTTATGAGGGAATGAGACAAACGGGAAAAGTCTGAAGAAAAAATTGACTGTCACCACCAGGACTCGAACCAGGGACCCTCGCTTGTAGCCAGCGATTCTCTAACTACTGAGCTATGGTGCAGTCGTCATCCCAGCAGATACCGTTCAACATTTTCTTCAGACTTCGTAACTCACACTTCCTGTGAATCCACACAGGCGGGTGGGACGCAGCCCTCACTGTACCCACACACTTCACGTATCGGTCCTTGTCGTCAAGGAAAGGTGTTACCAGTTGGCGACTGAATTGTTTCGAGACACTGGTGTAATGATAACGGACGAGGGATCACGATATCCTGGCGCAGCAATCGGAAGGGACAGCTTTCTTCAAAGCTATATCAAAACAAAGGTGGACGAATGGATGGGGGAACTGAAGAAGCTAGCAGTATTTGCACAAACCCAGGCGCAGGCTGCGTATTCTGCGTATGTGACGGGCCTCAGGGGTAGATGGGCGTTCCTCTGTCGTACCATGAAGGTACCCGAACCCATGTTCCAACCGCTGGAGGACATTGTGAAGTCTGAACTGATTCCCGCCTTAACTTGCCGTGCACCCCCAGGCGACACCCTCCGACGGCTTATGGCTTTGCCGTGTCGTCTGGGTGGGCTCGGTTTGATTAACCCTGTGTCCCTATGCCAACAATACGACTCGTCGGTTCGGATGACCAACCCTTTGTCTCGGAGAATCTTGTCAGGGGATGGCTCCATCGGTGACTCGGTAGTGTTAATCAGATCGGCCAAGAGAGACGCCAAGGCATCTTCTCGACGTCCTCAGAAACTGGAATTCGACGCGATATCGGGCATTGCGTCGGAGTCGCTACGACATGTCATAGACGTCGCGAAGGAGAAAGGGTCGTCGAGCTGGCTGACGTGCCGTCCACTTAAGAAATATCATTTTAATTTAACAAAGGGAGAGTTTTGGGACGGACTCTGCCTCCGTTACGGATGGACACCGGCCAGGGTACCGTCACACTGCTCTTGCGGCCAAGAGGCAACTGTCGCGCATTCCCTGTCGTGCCCCTATAGAGGGTTTCCCTCCATTAGAAACAATGGTATTCGGGACGTCACGGCCCGGCTGCTGGACGAGGTGTGCACCAGTGTGTCCATCGAGCCCTTGCTGCAACCGCTGACGGGGAGCGTCTTCGCTACCGGACCGCAAATGTGGAAGACCCTGCCCGGTTGGATGTTGCTGCCAATGGTTTGTGGGGCAGTCGTTTTGAGCGTACACTTATTGATATACGGGTTTTTAATCCTCACTCACGCTCAAATCGATCTGCACCACATGCTATTGTGTATCAGCGACATGAAAAAGAAAAGAGAAGGCACTATGAGGAGCGGGTGAGGCAGGTTGAGCAAGCCTCCTTTGTTCCGGCGGTCATGTCAGTCAGTGGCGGAATGGGTCCAGCATCAACAGCACTGTACAAACGAATTGCTCATCTGTTGGCGGAGAAGAGGGGTGAGTATTACTCTCATGTTATGGCATTTGTTAGATGCAGGATTTCCTTCAGCCTTCTGAAATCCTGTATCATGTGCATTCGCGGTTGTAGGCGTTTAAATTTTGGTTTGAATTTGCACCCTCCTGCGGAGCCCACGCTGCTTTGGCAGTGGCGGAGGCTCGCTTGCCGACGTAACCGTCGGAGATCATCATGAACAATGGACTGACTAATTATTCACTTGTCCTGTCTTTATAAATAACATGTTATTGCATATGTTCTTGGTTTAGTTTTTGGCCTTTTTCGTGCTTTGGAGTTGATAACATTTTCCTCACTATCGAAAAAAAACACAAAAAAAACAAACTAGCACGCGGGGAGCCCTTATTTTTATTATTATTATTACAGTCTATGTCTTCTCCGCCATGACCTGCCGCATTATGAAATAAACCTTCATACAAAACGATGCACTTCTCAAGAGCTGGCTGGAACGCGTGCCCCCTTTCACGAACCAAGACAATCTTTTCGGGATTGGTCTATTTAGCAGGTTGCGCTTGTCTATGTTAATGATGGCCCCGCTTTTACGCTGGCAAAAGTTTGTGAGATTGGAGGTTGGGTGGCATGAGTTGGCCCGCATTCTTATTATTAATATTAATAATAATAGTTACAGTTCGCATGTCACTCATGGAAGGATCCATGGGCTTAACGCATCTGTCAACGAAATCCAGGCCGAAGAGCCGGCAGAAGGCATCTCGCTATTGTTAGAACGTATCGCAGTAAGAACAACTACGCAAGCGCAGCATATTTTTCCACAGGCATCATCCATTTTTTCTTGTCTAGTGCCAGTTCAAAACAGTCAGAAATATCATTATTGGCGTGCTTTAGATCATTTTTAATATTGTCAATCCATCTGAGATGGGGTCGGCCGCGTGGGCGTTTGATGTCCCGGGTATTAATTGCCATCTCCAGTGCTTGGTAAGACGCTGAGTTACGTCCTTCGCGAACAACATGGCCCAGCCAGAGCAGCCGACGTCTGCCTCAGGTAGTGCTGACTGGGCCCTGTCGCGCTGAGGCGTACACCTTGGCATTCGACATGTGGTGAGGGTACACCACACCAAGCAGGTACCGCAATTTTCTGCGGTGCCATGCGTCCAGCCGATTTTTGAGTTGCTGTGTCAGGGCTCACAGTCCGCAGTTATACAACAGAATAGGCAGAATGAGGGCAGAGAACATAAAAAGTCTGGAGCTCAGTTTATGACGCTTCCACGAAATGGAGCCGAACGCTCTATTCGCAGCACCTATTCTTGCCTGAATATCCTCTGCGGACCCTAACAAAGAGCCAAGCAGCTTGACAGATCGCCAAGAGGAGTCGGATTTAGTTACTGTAATATATTGTGTTTTCTGAATATTTAACATTAGGTTATCTTCTTTGAATTTTTTCACTTGATTTCTCCACAATCTCCTCGACTTTTAGTCTCCGTGTCATGGATTGTTCTGTCGTCTGCATACTGGGTGGTTGGTGCTGGTAAAGATAAGTGCAATAGTATAGGATCAAGGTGGCGCATGGCTCCCTCAGCATACACATTGTACATGATGGGAGAGAGCGGATCCGCCTGCACTACTCCGATATTTGTAGCAAACGCTTTGCCTAAATGAGAACTGAGTTCACTCTCACCGTCGTGTCCGAGATCAGAGTGGCAACGACATCAGTGGCAGCTCCAGAGTCTGAAAATCAACGCCAACGCCTTCTCACGGACAATGGTATCAAATTCTCCGATGAAGTCTAATAGTGCGGCAGAGTATTTCCAGTCACTGAATAGTGCACGTTCGCACATGACCCGAGTATAGAACTCCGTCAGCCGTGGAGCGTCCGGGTGTAAAGCCTGCCTGACTTTCACGTACATATGAGGTGGTAGATTGTTGTGGACGCATGGTGATGATGCGGGTCAGTACCTTGCGGACAACTGATAGCAGCACGACCGGTCTGTAACTTTTCGGTGCACCCATAGGTTTTCCTCGTTTGTATACTGGCACCAGAAGGCCACATTCTTATTATTGGAAAAATTACTATTTTTAAATCCTCCTGCGCACAACACCAAATACCGAAGCGAGGGCGACCTAGAAAACAACCATTAACCACACAACCGTTACCTATACAACCCGCGGACCCTGGCTCACCGCCTGTCGCTGGTGGGGGTGGTGGAGGAGAATGGGCGTGGTGGCTCAGTGGGCCGGGTTGTGTCGCCGCCTTGGCTCCTGCCGTCGGTGGTTCCTTTGTCAGTACCCCCGGCGGCTTTGGCTGACGCGGTGCCGCTTCTGGTCCCGGTCCCACTACCTCCTCCTGATCCTCTACCGTCGGCGCTTGCGGCGGTGGAGCTTGCCTGTGACAGACCGTGAGCAACACCGACAGTGGCTTTAACACTACAATTGCCTACTCAAAAAGACCCACCTTGCGTATCAGCAGCTCCCACACCAACACCAGAAACGCAATCTACAGCAACCACAAGAAATCAAACATCTTAGCCCACTATTGAAAGACCAAGACGATCAACAGCCAACTACAACAGAAGCTATGCACTCAACGGACAAGAGCGAAAGAAGGGACGTGACCGCAGAGTGACAGCGGAGTCAAATTCAATGGACTGAGTCTGCCGGGATGCAGGAAACAGAGAGCGCAGAGGAAGGGGATGCAACACAATTATTGTGGAAAGGTCACACCAATAAGAGACAAGATCAAAAGGAAAGCTTTACTATAATACAAATAAAACGTAGCCTGTAAAATGTAAAAAGTCACTGAGTACAGTTTAATTCAATATCCATGTCCAGTATTTATAATAAAAATAATCTGCTGCAATTTATAGATTCTCACATGTGAGCAACCTGGGCCTCAGCAACAACCAGCTCAGCAGACTCCGGATGCCGAACCGATCGCTCACGGAAAAGACCCCGTGAACCCCGCAAACACATGATGCATGATCGCAACAGGGCAAATGAGAGACGGCATCTGATGTAAGATATTACGTTGGAGTACTGCTCCTGCGGATGATGGAACGGACGGTGATTGAGTAGTGAGTCGGGGAGCGATGATGGGAGAGATCGTGAGAGTGGTAGCAAGTCTTCATTGTAAATTCATTTGCTATCTACTCCTGATTGTTGCAATTTGTACTCCAACACTTCTTTCATTGTATTGTACCGTGGTCGTCACGGTTATGGACTACAGTTAAAGGTTTTGGAAGCCATCTATCAGCGTATTTACAAGCCTAATTTGTGTGTACTGAAAGATAGTATAACTGGGTTGAAATTGTTCAAGTAACGTGTCATGTTTAATGCTGCCACGCTTGGCCGTTGATGTTCTAGGTGAAATGTACTGCTGTTATTTGTTATCCGTGCCTTTGTCCTTCCTTCTTTCTTTCTCTTGTTTGTTCATCTTTCCATTTCCAAGTTGATTGTTCCCACACGCATTCGTTATTGCTCTCGCTTTCATTGTAAGAATTTACACTTGAAAATGTCACTGCTGTTGTTCACTGCTGTTGTTCTCTAACGTCGATCATCTATAATAGTCCTATTGTTATTTTGATGTTAACTTCAGTCACGAGTTTCCATTGATCGTTGTGACTAGAAAACGGTCTGGGACAATTTATTCGGTGCTATGACTGTGATATGAGCGCGCCTATAACTTTATTTATTGAATTCAGCAACCACATGTTTCTAGTGACTCCGTGCTCTGCTCTGGTATCTTCCATGGCGCAATGAAATATTGTGTTCGCTATCAAGTGCACAGCATGGATTGGGCAGCTTCGTATAAATGCGATCTCGGCCGACGTATTTCTGTCGTATGCATGACGGAAGAACGCGTATGTCCCAAGTACGAAGCGCTATTGGTAATCCACCTTGCCCAATTCGTTTTCCGGTAATTTAGCATTGTGGTTTAGTCCCTCATAAGTATTTTTCTTCCCTTCCTTTAATTAACTATCTCTCTCTCGGGGGGGGGGGGGGATACGTACTCTACCCCCCCCCCCAACCCATTTTCTGTCGTTCAGGGGACAGAATACTTAGTCGTAAGATCATAGAAGGAGAAATCGTCTGCTTTTGGTGCGTTTGGTTATTAGCGGAAAGGGAGTTTCCATTTCCTCGAGCAAGTGGATTTAAAATTAGGTTCTGTCTAATTCGATAGCAACAATCTTGTTTCCACCCCAATAATACAAATACCTTGCACAGCTGGTACGTCCAAAAGGATGGAAGCTCCCAATAAATAGAGTACTGGACGGTTAAACACAGAAAATTGGAAGTACAGTATCAGACGTAGCAGCACGTTCATGAAAGATTCGTTTGTGAAATGCTGCCCTTAATCGCGTTGACATTGACAGTAGCCTTGCAGCTATACGGAAGGATTCCTTCACTCTGAAGGTGCGGTTCAGAATATGAATCCGAATATCCCAGTTGTATCCAATATTACTGCACGTTTATGAGTAAATTTTGTATTGTATTTGTAATGTAAGGAAGGGGCTTCCTCCCCACACTGGAGCATGCGCTATTCCATGGACTTGACTTGACACTTGATTGACTCACTACTGCCAACCAGAGCACATAAGAGGTCCATGGAACCTGCGACTCCGAAAACCTACAATGAAGCGCCACTTCCTGCTCAATACACCGTTTTTTGGAAAGTCATCCTTCATCTCGCCCTGCCTCCCAAGGTAGTCCTTTTGGAACGTCCTACCGGATGCAGTCAGAGTACTGTCGACTCTCAGCAGCTTCAATGGTGCCGTCGTACTGTATACCCTGCGATCCTCCTGATGTTATGATTAGAAACTTGCCCTGAGACAGCTTCCTGTCTGTGATTGATTTTCACTGTTTACCATTATTATTTGCCATGACGACCCCCGTAAGTCCGTAACTGGCAGGGCAGGGTTGGGCCTTTTTCAAAACAAAAAATATCCTCCCGATGTTATTAGCAAGTACTATCGTAAGCAGTTTTTTTTCTTTTTCTTTATTTATCCTCTTTACCAGGCGTGGGCCGTCCCCTGGACTATCAAAATGGGTGCCTTATTATTATTTTTCTGTTTCAGTTCATTGCACTCATGAACAAAAGTACTTAGTTATAAGGCGGGTTTCAGAACTGTCGTGCCCTGGCTTACTTGTAGTTTTGATAACGCTTCGCCCTTCATTGAGATGTCTACCATTCTCTCTTTTTTCTCCTTATTTTCTCCCCTACCTTCCTTCCCTGTAACATAATAACATTATTCGCTCCCTTGTCATTGAGCTATTGTGCTCGTTTGGATTAGCGAATTAAAATAAAGTATACAAACAAACAAAAATCAGTTGAGCATCAGTAGGCTCAGGAAGATTGTGCCTGAGTAACACCAGTAATATGGTGTGCTCTGAAGGACGAAACATTGCCAGAGATGTGAACTGTCAGAGAGGCTTTGTTTCCAGCCCGACAAACACCTCGTGACCCCGAGATAGTAGGGTGCGTCAGTGTCGCTCCTTTATGGTGAGACCTGACGTCGAGGACCCTGAGTCATTCACAAAGCTATCACCCCAAGCCAGCTAGTCGTTAGCCAACAGTACGAATTAGTGGTTGCAATTTTGGCTATGATTGTTAGGAAAGGGTTTGCCCCCAACAGTGGAGCTAGGGCTATTCCGCCGTTGTATGCAGTATTTAATTTATGTAATTGCCAATCTGGTAATCGTCGTCTGAAAATCGTGTCTAAATGACTCTCTAAGTCACGACTGACTGTTGTTCGTCCTATCCTTGTCCAATTACCAACCTCTAATAATGCCGACATAATTATATTACGGCGCTGCGTCCTTGACTCGCTGTGCGTTATATCACGTCGACTTGCATAAAAGCTGATGGCAGCGTAGATGGTCCATAGGTATAAAGTTCACGGAGTAACGTTGAGACCAACACTAATTGACCAGGCGTAATACACTCACGTACCCGAAATTCGCAGTACCAAATCACGTCCATTGCTCCCGTCTTCCATAGACTCGACAGTAACACACGTAGAGTAGTAACACTCCTTATTATGCACTGCTTAGAAGTATTCTTGCACCAAATATCTCCAAATCTTGATTCTGTGTGCTTCTACACGCAGAACTCGCTTGTCGGACACCCACCACACCCACAAACTACTTCTAAGTTTTTGAAGTCTGTGCTGTCACCTGACATTTGTGAGGCTTGACTCCAATTGACGCCAAATGTTACTTGCACACCAACACGAGTTGCCTGCTGGCTTCAGTCATTGCCTTCTGGCTTCTGGCTTCAGTCACTGCTCGTAACTCGAAATCTTGATTCTGTGTCCTCTTACAAGCACAACTCACGCGTCGTACACCACACCATACCCACTAACTGCTTCTAAGCCTTTGAAGTATGTGCTGTCACCTGACATTTGTGAGGCTTGACTCCAATTGAAGCCAAATGTTACTTGCACACCAACACGAGTTGCCTCCTGGTTTCAGTCACTGCCTTCTGGCTTCAGTCACTGCCACATGTTCGTAAATCGGAATCTTAATTCAGTGTCCTCTTACAGGCACAAGTCACGCGTCGTACACCACACCATACCCACTAACTGCTTCTAAGCCTTTGAAGTATGTGCTGTCAGGTAAATTTTTGAGGCCTGAATCCAAATGAAGCCATAAAATGTTACTTGCACACCAACACGAGTTGCCTTCCGGCTGCAGTCACTTCCTTCTGGCTTCTGGCTTCAGTCACTGCCACATACTCCGATTGAATTGAATACAAGTACACCTACATATTCATTGCCTGTAAACTCTTTTTCCCGCTTCCGTATCGTAGCGGCGACAAAGTTGCAAGTACGAAATACACCGCTCTAGCATTTTTTGTGCACACCTGATATCCAGAGGTGCAAAGCAACAGCTTCTGTCCTTAGCTACAGCACTTGATGAACAATCAACAGCGTGGCCTTTAAACCAGTGGCATGATGGTCAAGCCCTGACATACACAGATGGGCTCAGTCTCCTGCTGGCTGGCCCTACAATCTCTACTCCGGGTGAGTCATAGCGTGTTTCCATCGCAATTTCAGCCACTGCACCCCGTGTACATGCACATCGATGACTCTATTCACTGACTGACTGTCATGTGTTGGCTTGTGGTCCTTCAAATTGGAATCCGTCGCGAGGGCAAAAGCGTATGCCTCGATCATTCGTGATCACATAGTAGCGCACCAAATACAATGAAAAATGTGTTGTCCGCTCTCCTGCGTACATCGGCGAACGGCATTCATTGCGAATGAGCCGGCAGACTGTATTGTGATTGCTCATCCGTGATTGCTGAGCTCTGGCTAGTAGTACAACCTGAAAATGATGACGACAAGGATAGCGAATGGTAAGCGCCCCTTTTTGGGGGTCATTTTGATTGTCATGAGCACGCGCTTCACGAAATCACAATCCTGCGAGCTGTGTTAGGCCTCAACAGCGACGATATACGTCACTGGCTTCACGACCACTGGGGTCATTTATATATTTATTTCACCTTCCCGTGGACAGGACATATAGGCCAATATGGAGGGAGGGGAGCGATAGCCAGCCATGGTAGTAAGCAAAAACAATGCAAACAAACGACAAATTGCAATGGGCAAGAACCTACACAGGGCGAGGAAAAGAGAAACAAATCTGAATGAAGAATGAGCAGTTGTTGGAAAACAAGCTTGATGTTGAACTTGACATCATTTAGCGTACAAGACCATTTTTATTGATAGAGGCAAGGCCAGCCAGAGAAAATAGGCAGCGAAAAACGGAGATCTGGTATAAGCTGATGTTCGGGCTTTAGGCAAAGTGCAGGAATTGCGTGTAGGCCGAGTGGGAAGAAACCAGTTATATTTACGCAAGTGCGGCGGACTTTGTCGTGATGAATAGAATGAACAACAATACACAGTTTTCGATCCGCTTGACTAGAGATGGGGAAGGTGTTAATTAAACATATCATACAGCTCAGCAGAAGGAAAGTATGATGGTTTGCGGGAAAGGACTTTCAGTACTAGCACATGCTGAGAGTGCAATAGCAAGTTTCACCATAGCTCATGGCCATGGAAATGTTCAGCAGTACTCGGTTACGCAAGCTTCTAAAGATCTGATCAGTACACCTGCAACAAATAGATAGACCTGAGGTCTCGGCTAAACAGCAGCCAGTGTGCGGGATAAACTATCATAGCATCGTACTGTTCATAGGGAATCGACTGCCCAGTGCCAGTTTGGGCTGAGAAGATGACGATAAACAGTCATTTTGAATGATTGCATTCTCTTTCTGTGGGGAGCCTGGGACACAAATAGCGGCATGGAGGGAGTTCCAATCACTGATGCTCCAGTGTGGGAACGAACGTTTCAGGGCCAGCCGGTCAGATGCAGGCAGCTAGTGTTGGAGCTGGTGGTCATGGCCACTGACACTACCGTGCTCGCTATGATTTCTGGGGATGATAGAGGGGATATAGTGGCAAAACGGAGAGTAGTTGCGGAGGCCCAGGCAAGAAGTGCAGTGTGTACAGTCACCCCACCAGCAACATGGCCTCTGACGGATCCCTGGCAACAACAATCACCTCTGACGGATCAAACTGGTAGCCTCCTGGCGGTAGTGGTGCTGTTGAAGCGATGGACTCTGGCACTAACATAGTTCCTGATGATTCGGAGACAAGAAACGGCAATACGGGCGAACAAACCCAGCTGCCAATGCAACCGCCATCGCTGAAACGACTGCCTGGTCGATGCTAAAAATTGTTCAGATGCTGGATGTGACTCTGCGCAGCTCCCATCCATGCAAGAGGCACATACACTACAGTCAATTCAATAGAAACTGGTAAACTAACCTTTTGGTGTCACCCGCACATAGTTGTAGATATCGTGAAAACAACAGTACATCCTGCATTGTGCGAACCATGCAATTACTACTTGCCACATTTGAGGCCAGAAAAGTCCAAGAACATGGAAATAGAAATTTGGCCAGGTTTTACAAACATTAGGGCAGGTATGCCATGACAAAATGTATGGAGAAGCAGATCCGAAACCCAGAGTTTTGAGATTTTAAGTGGATTTTTGATCCTCGATTCGACCGAAATCCGACTTTCAAAAGCCAGCGGGACATTTTCAGATGAATGGACTGTAGGATTGGTCGAATGAACGATTTATATATGGTCGTGCGGCGGGCAGGTTGGGGATGTCGGTAGAATGCACTCTGACCGCTCTTTACTCTTTACTCTGACCGCTCTGGCACGATCGCATTGGCCTCATATTCAATCCTGAACACCAATACGCACCAAAATGAGCACACCTGCGGCGACAGTCTCAACCAGTGTTTTTTCTATTGCATGTAGGCGATTCCAGACGTACTAGTAATTTCCAGGTCTTCTATGCCCTAGGAGTTTCTTAACCTACCACTGTATGAGATCGGATAGCTTAATCGTGCTCCTGTATGCGAAAAAGAACTCCATCGAACTCGCGAATAACAAAAAATAATCTTGTGTGCAATCCACAGTACTTGTCTGTAAAGGATGTTTGAGGTCACAGACCAGATTATGATTCAAGGACCAAGCGCGGAGGTCTTCGCTAGATATTAAATGGATATGCGTACGTTATTGACAAGAGAGGACTGGATGATGTTATCTACCGGAGGTGCGACAGAAAAATAGGAGTTTCAGTGCTAAAGAAGGTTTTATTATCGCATGCAAAATTTATTTTCGGTTATACAAAAACATACCAAGCTGTCTATCCGTTTCAAAGTTTTCACCAGAATACGCTTTTAGAAGCGTTGAAAATGTTGTTACATTTGCATCTTCTTACATATATTGGGCCAATATAAGTAATTTTATGTGAACTGTCCCCTCGTAGAAAAATGCGTCCATGAACAGGGATTCGACGAAAGAGAATTCTGTGAATGAAAATTCGTTGAATAGATATTTCGGTGAATCGGTATTGGCGGTGAACTGTCATTGTGTGAAAGGCCTTTCCGTGATAAGTCGTTCTGTGAATGGTCCCTCTGTGAACGCGTTTCCGGTAAATGGTCGTAGATCGCACATCGGCTGTCCTCTTTCCCAGAACGTCGATTTCACACACAAGCTTCTCCATTATCACTGCACAGGTGCATACATGGTGCCACCACACTCGCACACACGCGAACGCAAGCATGCACGATGATAGCACAGGCACATTCACATTGGCCTCACGCTCAATCCTACACCCAAAGGCACCAACATGAGCGCATATTCGGCGACAGTATGAACCAGTGTTATTTTCTATTCCTTGATAAAGGTTTTTGGGTGAATTACATTTGTTTGCAAATCGCTCTATTGCAAAGTTTGAAGCAATGATTACAGACGTCCTTTCAAGGCTTCTAAAGTTCGCGAGTTTCTGAACATTGGCCACTGTAGGAGATCGGGTAGCTTAATCGTGCTCCTAAATGCGACAAGGAACACAGTCGAGCCCGTAAGTAACAGTATTTATTCATATGTGTGATCCGGAGTACTTGTGTGTAACGTTTTTTGAGGTCACAGACTTGTCGAGTTATATGACCGAATAATATTATACTAGTAGGAATTTGGTCTCCCCACGTAGCTTACGTGTCATGTGTTCTTTGATTTGCCTGCGATATCATCGTCCTGTGTCAACCAACCAGGCAACAACAGGATCATGAGGCAATCTATGGCGGAACAATTCCTTACAACCTGAAAACTTGTGGGTTCTGACGATAAAAAAACTATGTCTAAGGCATCATTTGAGAGGAAGAGAATGTAAAAACACATCGAGTTTGAGAGTCTAACTCACTGAAAACATGCACAAATGTAATGAGCCCAGTCATTTCTTGGACAAACCATTCAACTGACAAAACATTAATAACGAAACGAGGACAAAGACAAAAAGCCTGGAAATGATGTGTAGCCAAACCACAATAATGCGTTTCATTAAAGTTTTTTGGGACTGTGACTTTGTTCAACTCACAATAATATTTTGTTCCAAAATTGATGCATATTAAAGCTATGTCATCAACGGACAAAACAATCTAAAATCGTATATTGTTAGATAAATCAATCAATACGGCAATAATTTCCAAAACATAGACGATCACACGCTTAACACCCAAGACATTTTTTTCTCTCAGAGCAATGACAAAATCATATCTCCAAGACTTTCGCATTCCGTTTCCAATTTAAAATTCGTATGTGAGCCTAATACCAGAGCAGTAAACGGTACTTGGAACAACCTCCCAAATGTGTTTTTCAGCCAGGTGCGCCCGGGAGAATGCCGTAGC